GGGGGGGGGGGGCCCCGCCCCCCTGGATCAAATCCCCCCTGCGCCGGTTCACGCCGTCGTGGACTTCTACCAGTGTTACTTGTGATTGCCTGCTACCTTTCGTTCACCCCCTCCTCTCTCAAGTTGGCATCCTCCACAGAACATGAGGATAGGGTCATCGCCAGCCAGTGGATTGAGAACTTCTTCAAATGTTCCTTTGGATGAGTGCGATGTGGCAGTATGTAGGCAGTATGTAGGCGATCAGCCAGGCATGACGTCAAGACACATAGTCGTGTGACGACTTTGGGCATTTCTTGCAAGCGTTTCTTGATGAGAGATGGCTGACGCGGAGTCTGCGTGCATTCTTCATCATTGATTCTATGTCCTTCCCGACATGGCATCCAAGTCATGTGTGGACTCTTGATTGATAAAGCAAACATAAACAACCATAAACCCGCATATAAAGAGGAGGTTTCTTGGTCCAATTGGAAGAGGTTCTCAACTAAGTTTCTTCTACCCAACTCCTGCTCGAGCACCTGGTAGGTTCTGAGCTCCGCGCCGCCGCCGGCGGTGGCACGCTTGCCGGGGCGCTTCAGGTCCTGCGCCGCGGTGTGCGGAGAGCATTGTGTCCGGGACAGCATTCGTTGGATTGGTGGCGAAGGCATGACTTGCTTGGTTGATGGATGGGCCGGGCTTCATCTTGGCCCTGCCCCTTCTGATGAGTCGAAGAAGCAGAGGTCTCGGATGGATCCACTGGGCGTTTTCCTGGATTATCCTGGATAGATTTATCAATTAGATCATAAATACCCTGCGACTGCCTGGTGGCTTATGACTTCGCGCCAGAAGTCCTTTGCGTTCATTGCCTGTTGGCGTCGGAGACTCCGTTTGGGGAGTTTAGGGTTAAGCCCAGCCCAGCTGGAAGCCCAGCTGACGTTTAGGGTAGGGTGTTTCAGAGGGGTTGACACGGACGACTATCATGAACTGGGTGTTTCATGAGGTTCAGTTCGCTTGGCAATTGCATGGCTTCAGGCCCAGGACACTTTTAACAAATCCAGTCTGAGTGGAAGCATGTTTTGCAGGGAAGCAGCGCTCAACCATCAGCTTATCAGGCTGTGCTGTTCGGGAAAGAATGTCCTTGGCCTGGGATGCACATGACGTAGCTGACATAAAGCATTGAGGCCTGCCAAATATCCCAACCCTCAGGTGCCTTCTTGGCGAAGACTGTGACCAGTAGTTCCTCCCATCGGACCTGAAAGAGTATGAATATGAAAATGATACTGTAGCAGGCCATTCACTGTCCCATGGCATCCTATGGCAACGGGGTGTCTAAACTTCAATAGCTACGCTGCAGCTCCTTCTCCCAATTTTTTAAGAATTTGTTTTACTTGTGGCCAGTCGGTGATGCAACCAGAGAATGCGAGGCACGTACAAGAATAGGGCGTATCGCGGCCAATTAAAAGGGGTTTCTATGGTTTTCTTTGGTTCGGGTGGAATCTGTGAATCCGTGAGCCAACATGGGTGATTCAGCTAATATGTATTTACATTTCTTGGCTCAGGAATCACTTGGTTTGGCAGCAATGAATCACCCAGACACTTTTGTTTGTCCTAACCGCCACACCCAAGGCGAGGCCTGCACTTTGGCCTATGCAAGCTGGTCAGAGATGCTCAGCGAAGATTGGGCGAAGGCGGTATGGCCAAGGCAATAACCTTAAAAGGTCTCAATCTTAGCCCCGCCTGTAATCTATAGTGCTCTCAGTTCAACGCTTTGCTCAACTTCTTGGACTAGGCTCCGGTCTTGCACTTGATGATGTGTACTTAGCCGCTTAGTCCTGACGCCCACTTGACTTGTTCAAGATTATCAGCCCGGAGTATCAAGTTCATTTGGGCATCGCACACACTGTCTAGACTACCAGCCACAAGGAACACGAGCCATCGAACCATGTCTGCTTAGACCCTTCCTTCGGGTCTGCAGTTGTTGGTGGGGTCGCGCCTCGGTGAATCCATCGGAGGTTGCACCGTGGCACGATCTCGTTTCACCTAAGGTCTTCCAAAGCGCAGGGCCGCAACTTGGTATCGGTGGGCACAGATGTGAGATCGGCCGGTTAGTTGTCTTGAGCCGAGGCTGCTTGGGCGGCTTCGGTTTTGGAAGAGATTGCGTGTGACATCCTGGGAGTCCCAGCTTTGGATTTAGGCGTTCAGATGACATGGGTCATTGAATCCGATTGAAACACTTCGGCCACTTCGGCCCCGCCCACAGCCGCACACCAGGGGTGAATACATGTCAATACTCCCTTTTGTCCTTCGGGAAGGCTTGGCCGGCTTGGCCATGCGCAGCAATCAGGCTTCTTCCCATGCCCTGTGCCCTTGCGAAACTTTGTGTTGGCTGCCTGGATGAATGACACCTTTTGGGTGCCTGACAACATGGAGACATACATGCAAGCAGCAACTTGGCATCAAGTTCAAGGACTCAAACCAGACCGTCGCCACCGCTGTTGAGGTGCTGGCCTTGCTCCATGAGGATTTGGATGGGTCAGTTGTTTTTCATTATTTGTTTGTTTTTTCAGAGTCATTGTCCATTGAAACTTGTTAAGTCATGTTAAGTCTATATATGGAGCAGTTTGTGAGGCCCTGCATGTGGTGGTTTAGTGCTGTGAGGGCCAGCGACATTTGAGATGTACTAGACTGTATGTACATTTACATGTGTAATACGTCACCTCACATAATGCTCATGGCATGTCATGGCGGAGCTCCTGAGAAGATGGTTTTTTGATTGGGTTCGTTTCTAGATATTCAACTATATGTGTGCATTCGAGGGAGTTCGCAGCCGAGGAATATGGGACCAAGCATCCACAAGTACATCAGTTTCTTGGATTGGCGTTTCCGCGCATTTCCTCGTGGATTTCCTCGTCAGCAGTCGTCAGAACGGAACGACCCCAGCTCGACCACATGCAAACCACCTGGTGGCCATGGGTATGTTTTCCAAGAGGGAAGAGGTGATACGGAGCCCGAAAGAAGATTGGACCAGCCCACTTCTTGAGCACACAGCAGCCCACGTTCCTGACTCACTTGACAGCTTTAAAACTGGCAGGAAACTGTTTAACAGATACTGCTGGCGCTTGGCCGCAGAAAGGGCTCAATACTCACTAGCATCCACCAAAACACTTTCTACTGCACACACATGTCTAAGATGTCTAAGCCCTATAGGGTCCTATAGGAGTCGGGCATTTGTTTGGACCTTCAGATCATCATGCCTTCATGCACCCTTCACCATCTTCACCCTGTCATCCATCATCATCCATCCATGGTTTCATGATGCTGAATGGCTCTGGAGCCGGGCGCCCAGTCCACCATGGTCGGTTGAAGCCGCAAGCACGCGCTTCTCCTTCTCCTAGGTCGCCCCACCAGTCGTGCAGCTCGCAGTCCTTGAGCCCCTATGAGACCATGGTCGCTGGACTCCCCAAGGGATCGGAGGCAGGGCATCTGCTCCATCGCCGCGCCCCCCCTGGCGGCGATGGAGCCCAAAGAAATGGAGACTGGATCTCTTTCAGCGCCGGAAAGTGGGGATTATTGAGGATGATTGCGGCAAGGTCCGATGCTATATGTTTAGACATGTGGGCAGTGGGCATGTAATTAGTCAGACAAAGGGTGAAACCACCCCGTTCGATCACAGTATGAAACCCTCAAACATATTCTACTGTATGTATACACAGGCCAATTTCTGGACACAACGTGGTTTCCGGTTCCTTATTTTGGAACCACTTTCCCGGCACCTTTGAAAAGTTCCTCTCTACAAACCCTATACAATGTTCCATTGCCGTCCAGCCTGGCACTCTTTGGGGTTGCTCGGGGCGGCAGGTGCTGGCGTTGCAACGGAACGCGGAGGAAGCACATTTGACGCGTCACTCGGGTGGAGGGATAGGACACACTGATGGACCGTGTGGTGGTTGCTTTTTCATAACCATGGAGCCTATACAAAAGGCAAAACATGGCAAAACCACATACCATCGGAACAATCAAGGGGTATGTGTTTTCGATTTCATGGGTTTTTCCATGGCACGTGACTCTTTTAGATGGCTGCAGTTAGCTCTTTCATGTCTGACTATGTTTGACTTGTGGATTTCATGGTGGCATTTCATGCCCCTTCTGTCGGAAGGGTGCCACTTAGATGGTGAGAACTTGGCAAACCAGCCTCCCTCGCTATATATACATTGGGCCGCGGCCTGTAGCAATCAGTAAAGAAGTATCACTATTTTAGAGAAAGGCCTGCAACTGAACCATCATCATCCACTGCTGATACTGGTGATAGGATATAATCGGATAATAGCTTAATTGTACATGTATGATTTGCCTCTTCCTGTGTCCAGTGGTTTCACCTTGAACAGATGTGTCCACCGACGTGCACTGATGTGTCGATCTGTCGTCAACCGCTGCAGGTATCGCGGCAGCCGCTTCTCATGACAGGTGCGAACACGGTGCGACTGACGATTTCTACGTTCTGAACCTTTGGGAACCACAGGCTGCAGTACCTACCATTAGGACTGCATGACTATCTAGCTGCTAGCTGGTGGTGATTTCTGAATCAGCTGCTGACTTGATCGAAACAGCAGGCTCACTAGGAAGCGCTACTAGGGGCTCCTGCCACTGCGACTTTGGTGTCCTCCAGGCGTTTATGGAGGAAGTCGTTCATTGAGGACAGCAACAGCAAGTCCCAGACACCATGGAGATTCGCCGTTGAGACCAAACATGTCTGGAGATGGCCCAGCTGCTTGGCTCTCAAGCTATCGCCCACGAGTGGCCACAACTGTGTTGTGTCATGATCATATATCGCTGGAATTGCATAATCAAATATTTATATAACATATACCTTGTAGATTGATCCCACAGCATCCCGAGAAACAACCACTTCAAGGTTAGCAAAACTTGCCATATATATACATGGAGTGAATTACTTGTTGTACTGCTTTCTGATCATGGCTGTTCTTCAGGCTGCCAGAGCTGGCTGATGATGTTTCAGAGATTGGCCCGCATGTGGCATGCAGGTGAAACAGAACAGCTAGTTGCCAAGAGTCACAGTTGTGTTTAGTCCCTAATTCAGTGGATAATGGGCACCCCTTACCTTCATTTACTGTAAACATCCCTTTGGAAATCCTGGTGAGCGAAAAAACGTATCAGCCCAGGTGTTCGAATTCCTTTTCTGGCACACCTCACAGTGCGCCACTTCCTCCTTGCTCTTGGAACAGTCCTGTCTGTTGGTGCCTCCTATGCGCCATGGCCACGGGGTTAGTGAGTGGCGACGGACATTGAGATTTTTTGTTTGTGGCAACCTACCGTAACTGTACCATACTGTACCCAGGACTGGTCAGGGGCATCAGTCTATTTTGGATTTCCACCGCTTTTAATGCTGGTGAGAGTGTTTTCTGTTGTGCCAGCGGACCTGCTGCAATATTTGTCAGATGTGGAGGGGCCCACCTTCGCACATCTTGCCAGGGAGACTTTGATTGTTGGGTGCTTGCCAGGGCGGTTCACGACCTTCAACAAGCCCACCGCAATCTTGGTATCACTGGGCAGGGCTATGCAGGGCTGCATGTCTTGCAAGCCCTTGTTACATCCCACACCGCCGGTGAAGTCCCATGAGTTTCCCCCATCGCGCCCAGTCAAGGCCGACACGCGGGGAACGGCCTATCCATGACACCTTCAGGTCCATTTTTACAGCACCCAACTTGGGGATTGTACCATCTAGTCTCCATCGACTTTGCCAGTAACCATAACCACAACCATTAATAACCATCGTCATCGTCATCATCATCATCATCATCATCATCATCATGCACAGGTATCAGACCCTCGCATCAGAAGAGATGCATTTTTACATATTTAATGTTTAGTTCATGTTGGGTCAGTTCATGAGAACGATCTGAATCTGAGGAGAGGATTGCAGCCCTGAGTTGCCAAGTTGGCCCTAATCAGAGAGGTTTGGGCTGTCGTGCCACTCCGAGAGCTCAGGTCTTTATACCTGATATTTTCCGCTTTCACGTATTAAATTGTTTTACAATATTTTAGCTTACTCAGATACTCATTGCTTATAGTTATAGTACTCCTTTGGTGAGCAGCCATGCCCAGTTTCAGGATGTTTCAGGTCTCAGTCTGACTGTAGCTAAGGTTGTCCTCAAGCGCTTCTCCATGTGCAGCCGACCTGGGTTCTTGCTGCGCAAGATGCTTCACCCCTCAGATGGAGGGATGCAACCCAGTTGCAATTTAAAGGGAACCCAACCACCTGTAGAATGTACAATGCAACGCACTCACTGTTTATGGTTTCTTGATGATTCTTGTATGTGCATGGGCTAGACATGGGCTAGGCATGGGCTAGGTATCTCTTGGGCTTGCCCGCGGAAGACCGGCTGGTGCGGACTTCTTGACTCGACGTTGTTTTTTTTTTTTTTTGGTGCATGGAGCTATCACACATGGTTGTTACTCCCCTGCAGATTAACATGGAACCCCCAAACTACTGGGTTGTAGAGGAAAGTAGTCTTCCACGGGTCAACTCTCAGGTTCTATGTTTGTTTGTGGGGGAGTAGTTGCTGCAAGTTGGAAGCTTGGGTAGGTTGGGTGATCCTGTGCAGAAAGGGTTTGCAGAACTGGAGACCTTTAGTGCCGCTACTCATCCAGTCCCTCAAACGCCGAGTTTATGCTGACATTGACCCTTAAAGCAGAGTGAACACGGGATAGAGGGACAAAGAAAGCCACTCAAGATCTGTCTTTGAGTACGCCCTGCGCTGAGGTATGCCATCTACATGGCCATTCTTTTGGCACAGACCTTCTCACAACATTTGGCCAACACCGCAGGTGTCCTGGCTTCAGATGTTGCCTTTCCGAGAACTGACTTAGGAATTTCATCAACTGATGTTACTCAGACACTCACCTTCAAAACCACAAAGCCGTTCCCATGTGACGGCTTCATGTCACACCCCGTTCCTCGCGCCATTTTTCAGCGGAAGGGCCCCATGCTTCCAGACCTTTTCTTAGGCCTGGACGTTACGAAGGTCATCAATATTAACTCTCTGAGTATACCAACTCTGTCATTAGGTGCTCAGCCCGTGGTGCTTACAGAAAAAAGACACCAAACTCTTGCACTCCAGACCTTTGGGTCAGGTCAGTCCAGACCTTCGGGTCTCCTGGAGTGGTCAAATGGGATGGACCAGCCCGCACCAGCCCGCCTGCTCCAGGTCTCTTCGCCTTGGCGGCCACGATACTTTGGCAACTGGCACACGCCCTGTGGGCTGCAGGTCCGCTCTCGACTCGGACTCGTCGTCGACTCGGAAGGGGCCAGGAATTCCGGGCGTGGACGGGAAGAAGGGTCCACTGGGTGATGGATGATCGCCGTACTCGCATGGCAACCTGAAAGAGGTTTCGGTTCTACTGTTCTACTATAGTATAGAAGTGCGATGCCAGGGCTGAAGCTGCAGCCGATGCCATGATCATGTGTTGGGGTGGCTAGTGAGGGCAACCTCTAAGTGGAGCAGATTGATGCATCGATGATTTACACATTAATGTGGCCATTGGGTCGGTGACACTCTAAGGCGTCCCCGAGATAGGGGCCACCCACACCCATCCCGATGTTTTCCTCGATTCCGGCGGAGGAGTGGTCTGGACCCAGCATGGCTTTGCTGGAGTTGGCCTCCTTATGGCGAAGTTGATCAGGCCAAGTCATTTAGGGCTATGGGTTGCTACATTAGTTGGTACTTGTAACACGACCAATTGCCAGGCAATACATGGCAATACGAACCTTCCGTATTGCTTGTGCATGTCATATCGTCTTGCCTCAGGAGTCAAGCTGGTGGTTCAGCATGGCTTTTTGGACTCCTTTTGTTGTTGAGCTGTTGCACAGCTGCACCTGGATCGCAAAGTGAGATTCGCCGATTTTTTGCAGTCGCATTCTTTGTACCCAATCAGTGCCTTAGTGGATAGCCTTTAACCTTTTTGGACGTCTAGAGCAGACAGGTGGAAGGGAAGCCGAGGGAGACAGCTTTTCATGCATCAAGAAACGCAAGAAGATGCAGTTGAACATGACAGGAGGAGACAACGGTAGTATTTTGTTGAAATCAGTTTCTTGAAGGCCTAACTAGAAGGAACCTTTTTGGGGGGAGTTTTCGAAGGGCCTGACATGCGAATCCAAGGTCAGCCAGTGGCTCTCCTTCATCAGCCTCTCTTGGCTCGACCCGGCCTCCTACATCTTGTGCGTCCAGGCCTTTGCAGCTGAGGAGCGTTTTGTGCAACCGTCATCTCCACATTGGCAGTGTCCAAAATGGCGAGGACCATGGTTTGAACACCAAGCAAGATGGGACTTCCATGTTTGGATGCAAGGTATGCTTTCATGCATGGTGCACTGGTTTGCTGAAAAGCCTCCCAACTGAAAGCTCCGCAAAGGACCTGAAGAACTGTAGAGGGATCAAGTCTTTTGCTTCGTTTGGCACTTCCGCTTGTGGATTGGGTCAACCACAGGACCGCTTGCAGACCCCACTCTTTACAGTGACCGCTCCAGGTGCCTTTGTTGCTGGCAGAGGTTGCAGGCGAGAGTGCACCCTAAGCCGGTTCGCTCGTGAGGAGGTCGCAGTGTGCCCACCCAGCAGGGTGAGAAAACCACGAACGACAGAGTGATTGTTCTCGGGCTGTTAGAGAAAAACGCGGTTACGAGGGATTTGGATCCAACGACCTGGTTTTAGGATGTCTTAGGTAGTTAGCACATGTTAGCACAATTGAACACGTAACACGAGGTGTTGGTGGCAAAGATAGATGGCCTACCAGCATTTGCCGGCTAATTAGGGCTTGTAGCGAAGAGGTTAGGGTAATACATGGTAATACTACTTGCTTTCTACGCTGGCTTGGGATTCGTTCAGATACATATGTTCAATCAGTCAGTCTCTTTGGGCATTCGGCGGAACACCTCCGAGCCACCTCCGCCGGACCGTCCCTGACGGTTGACCGCGAGGGTCTCGTGAGGGGCTGAGCAACCCGACCCCCACTGGGGAATTGATGCAAACGAGTAGCCGGAAGCTTGTAGGTTGGAAGCCATCGCTACTCGTAGCCAGAAGCATGTACAAACAAAGCTTCCCCCCAGGAGTATCTCCTTACTCCTAGCACCCACCCGAAACGCCTTCTCCGAAAGTACGACCGGAGCCCCAAGGTCCTCAGAAGTGGAGGCCGACGTGTCAACATAGTAATGCCCCGCCGCGCCGTGCGTGCCCCGCCGCTTCCAGAACCGGTGATTTTCGCCCACACAGCCAACACAGAACACGCCGCAGCCGATGTACGTGTCCACGTGACTCGATCCACCCGGGCCGCACCGGTCCCGGAGGCTCTTTGGACCGGAAGTTCTGCCGAGCGCATGCGTTAGCATCCGCCCTCGTGTCTCGGAGCCGCTGGTGAGGGGAAGCGCCGGTTCAAGCGCCGGTGAACGGTGAAGTAAAGGGGAGTCGGGCTTCAGCCGGGCCATGCCGGGCGGAGAGAATTCCGGCCTGGTGTAGCAGATTGCAGCAGTTGTTTCATCGGGAGGGCCTCCATCGTGTTGGCTCGAGAGTGGTTTTGATGGACCTTTGTCCAAGGGATTCGTGTTTGATTTGCTTCATTCTTGACTGTGACTCACTGTCTATTTGTTATTTCTATGTATAGGGAGTGTAGCCATTTCCGTGAGAAAAGCTATGAATCTATGAACAGCTGAAGGAGTCGGATCATACCCAAACACCTCCATGTGTAATCTTGTACAATATACTAATATACAAACTAAATGCATGCCTAGATTGACTCCATATGACTCCACAAACCACCCCAATTTGGGTAATAGGGGCCTTACATCAAGCTCGATGGCCGTGGTCAAGCTCGATGCCCAGGTCATCCTTGCCATCATGGTGAAGGGCTTGCAGGTGGGCGCCCATCCGGCGGAACATGCTTCGATCTTCAGGGAGTTGTGTGAGTCCAAGTGGAATGTCCCACACAGGGTGGAAAAGTATGGCTAGTATAGCTATAATGATATATTAATATGTGTAGTTCCTTTTTCTTTGGAATTCAGCTGCCACCTCCAATCACTTTTTGACTCAGAGAAATCATGGAGCCTTGGGACAGAAGCATGGGGGGCACGGTGCCCTACTAGTCCCCTAGCACTGCCACCGTATCGTTCGGAGCATCTAGCGCTTGCACCAAGCGCTTGGGAAGGAAGTTTGGTTTAACATGTGGGTTTTCACCCCCACAACTAGTTTTTTGTAGATTTTTCCTCACACAAAACTGAAATCTTGAGAGATGATGGGTTTTAACTAATTCCCGGATTCGCCCCAACCTTTCTCTCTGGACAGCTTAACGATCGAATTCAATTCGGGCATCATCAAACTGTGGACGGGGAGCTGCAGGAATCTGAGTTGATACTGCTAGGGCTCCAAATGGCTCCAAGTACCTTCTTAGAAGGTGTTTGGGGTAGGTTTAGAGGCTCCAAATATGTCCAAATACCTTCTGAGGAGGTACTTGGATACCTAGGGTACATATTATATACCCTGGTGATTAGACCATTTAGACCCGGCCAGGCTGCCACCGATCGAGATGCGATGCTCTACCGGGGCTTGGTGACGGTCTTGATTCAGGCCGCACGTTTCACGGCGCACGTGACTGGCATGACTGGCCGTCAGTTGAAGAAGCGCGCGATGAACATGACTTCCACACCCGGCGTCAGAACGATCGCCCACACCTCCAACGCGCGTGGCCTGCAGGTACTCTTGTCGTCTTTGGTTCTACTCTGCCGACCCGTGTTGCAAGAGGCCCCGTTCTGCGTTGTTCTTTGGTGCACAGAGGATGGTAGGGACTGCAGATGCTGGTGAACGAACTGTTGATGCTTGTTGAAGGATGTTGTGACATTGCGCTGTGAGATTTGGCTTTTGATCCTTTTTGCGTACTCGCATCCTGCTCTTCAGAGTAGGGGAATCCAAGTTCTCCTCCGAAGCTCCGCGCAGATCCTCCGTTCTCCGCGCGCTCACATGGTGCGTTGGGTTACCTGCGCTTGAGGTCTCGATCTCCAGGGAGTTGCTGGTGTTGGCTCAAAGCCTTCAAGGTGGGATCGGACACGCCGGGGTCGACGGAGGTCGAGGGGTCCCATGGGACCCATGGGATGGTGGAGGTCCCGAGGAGAAGGCATGTATAGAATGGGGAGTGCTCCAGGAAGAGATTGGTGGGCCTTCTTGGCTCTACCAGCTCAGGATCATAGGATACTATAGGTTAGACGGTTAAGATAGACTCTGAATATAGCCCCCCCAAACCACTAAGACCGGGCTGCTGGCGCTGAGAACATGACAGTTTGGGTGAGTTTTGCATGGGTCAATGTTCGATATGTTCGATTGCCTACTTCAAATTGGCTTCTATGGCAGTGTTTATGTCCACAGACAGCGCCTATGTTCATTGCAGCCTTCTGTTTTTTTTGCTTCTGTCATGGTGTCCCAAGGTCCCAAGGGCCTGGATTGGGAGCAATGCTGAAGCCGTTTTGGCACTTAATCAACAATCAGTAGGCAAGATGATTATGCTATTATGTCAGTCCATAGTCAAGACCACAAGGAGCTGGTATTGACAGGGGGCTACTGGAGCAGCTCCCGCCACAGGCCAGCGCACGATCCAGCTCCTGTAGACATAGGCCGAAAATGGCTGAAAGGAATACTTGGATTAAAGGATACAGTATCAAAGGTGTCAAACTAACACACGGCCCAACAACTGCTTTAACAGCGACGTTTGGGGAGATGTTTGGTAGTGATGGCAGCGACCCCTATGGCAGCAGCCCCTATATGGCGACGTCCGCCACCACCTTGGCTGACTTGGAAAGCTTTTTGGCCGGCGCTGGCGACGGATTTTCGGCGGATGCTTCCACAGATGCGCCGTTCAGCACTGATAGCTCCCGCGCAGCCGGCACGGCATGGTGTCAGTGCATGGAGGGAGAACAGAATGCATTAGAGCAGCACAATCTCCAGCTCCTCGGAGCAAAATGGAAGGTAGGCCGCCCATGTTCCCGTCTACAAGCCCATGCCGAAATTCTATCCAGAAATACCTTCTCAACCCCTTCCAGCTCGCAGCATTTCAATCACACCGCCAAGAGTTGACATGATATACACTCCGACTCCGACTCACTAACATGGAAATGGACAATCGCCCTGTTCGTAAAGGAAAGTAGTCTTCGAAGGGCCGAAGGGACCATTTTCCACTTCCATGTTAGTGAGTCAGAGGGGTAAGCTTTTTAGTAGGATGAACCTCTTAGAGTCTTAGAGTATCTCAAATAATATCGCAGAACATGCTTCACGTCATTCCTTCATAGCAAAGGGAAGGTCGAGCATTATGTATTAAAAGGCTTTGGGTTTGTCTAGAATCCTTATTTTCCTGTGTGTGTGACTTGAATTGAATCGAAATCCCTGTTCTTCTACTTACTGATTTCCACGGGTTTGCTTTATTTGTTGCCCAGCCCGGAGAAAAAGAAGGTTCCCCAAACTTCCCCAACCCCCCCCCTACGGTTTAAGATGTTGCGCTAGAGGCGTTGGCCAGCCAGCCGATGTGTTGGAACTTGGGACTCAGTTAGAGAAGGAACGTTTCTCCAGGCACTTCAGCTCGGGGGAGTTAAGTGACGTCGAGCTCCATGCCTTTGGCGAGACCTGGCAACTCCATCGATTCTGCCGCTGGGGCCGGAGAGGAGACCGTTGGGCCGGAAAGCCGGAAAACCGGACCCAGACACTCCGGTTCGGAATATACCTGGATCTTCCAACTATGATTCTATAGGCTGTCCCCCCCCCCAACGAGGTTTATAGGCTATAAAATGGTTGACATGGGATTCCCAGAGGGATCATTTCTGCCTTTTCGTCCATAATTTAAAAATCGGCCAAAAGGCAGAACTTTGGCATAGTTGGAAGCATCCATTCCTGGTTCAGAGTGCTTTTTTTTGGGGGGGACCGTTGGGGGGTCTGATCCATTGATGTTGACTTTAACCTTGGGATCTGGGCTCTCGGGTATGGCTGGGATGCAACATCTGCGGCCTTCTGAGCTGAGCCTCCCAAGGGCAGGCACTCAGTCTCAAGCCCTTGGGCTCAAACAGCTCTTTTCAGCCCTGAAAACCGCTGAGGTTTGGTGCGTTCGCCCTTCTTCCGATCGATGTTCCTGGGGGACTGGGTCGAAGCCGCGAAGAAGGACATCACCTTGGAGTCCGAGACGCTTGGCTCCGACGATGGGCCGACCATGCAGCACGCAGGGGTGGACCAAGTGGCGCAGCAGCCAGCAGCTTCAGTCCGTGAAACCCCTTGGAGTCTTTGGGAGCAGCTCCTATCACCCCAGCAGTCTCCCAAAGGAGCCCAAATTCCTGGACAAGGGAGAAGCCATGTGACTCTATCCACATTTTGCATAACATGGGAGAGTTCAGAGTGAACGTCAATCATCCTTGCAACAACATGATGCCGCTGACTGCACCCAGTAGTATTTAATTACGTTGATATTGGGGCGACATACTGTGCAAATTGTGTGGCCCTAGGGCTCCAAGTACCTGCTCAGAAGGTATTTGGACATATTTGGGGCCTCTAAACCTACCCCAAACACCTTCTTAGAAGGTACTTGGAGCCCTAGGGTGGGGTTTCTTCATCCAAAATCATCATGTTGAATTCTTGGTGAAGGAACCCCACAGTTCCACCCCAAGGGCGGCCGGACCAGCCCGCATGGCTGATCGTCATGGGCGGTTCCACCGAGCCGGGTTGCGGCCCATGCGCCGAAGGAAACTTCAAGGGCTGAGCCGTGATGGCTTGCACCATGCCTTGGAGTTCCTCTACTGCGCGCGCTTGCAGCCCAAGAGCTTGGACGAGTTTAGCGAAGCCTTGCTGGCTGCCTGGACGCCAACAAGAAGGAGAAAAGAAGCACGGGGGCTATGGAGCGCGGAAGAACACATTGTAGAGAGAATATGGGTGCCCATTAAGACCTCCTTACTGTAATCACTCCCACAGTCTTGATATAAAAACCAAATATATGTTATATATATAATATGTATATAGCCGCTATAGCCCTTCGAAGAAAGGAAGTCATTCTGAATGTCCTTCATGAGTTTCCATGCTGGTTGAGAAACGAGAGCAACTTCCCAGCCACAAGTGGTGTACCTCCGTTTGAATCTCAACTAGCAGAAGCCCAACTAAATTGTATACCAGGACCAATCACCACTCAACGGATGGTTATTGGATGGAGAGCAGATGGTATTGGGGTAGGTACTGGGGTCCATCAAGCACCTTACTGGGTTAGCTACTGGTTGACTGGTTGTGTAAAAAGTAACATGCAGTAAAGTGTTTTAGGTCGACCTGTGGGCCTTCTTGTTTGGACGGTACCTTGCAATCCGTTAGTTTTATATATGTGTGTTTCTTCTTTCTCCACGGTCCAAGGTCATAGGAGTATCCATGCATGGAAAGGCATTTGGAGGTCACTGAATCGTTTATGAGAACCTCCAACATCTGTTTTTTTTGCACAAACGCCATATGGTTACAAGCTGAATAATTAGTATAAAAAGTTAAAAGTACTGACCCCGGTAGACGAAGAGCATGGATCCCTGAAAGAGAACGTCGACATGGGCTGAGGCTTTGAAGTTTCTCTTGATGGACGAGGCAGTCACGCAGCTGTTGGCGAAACTCGAAAGGAGGGAGCAGGGAAAGAAGCCAAAGAAGAAGACATTTCACCCCTTGGTGATCCTTGTTGCTAATGACCATGACGGTAGTTGGCCTTTTCTTCTTTTTCTCGTTTGGTCGGGCCCAAGGGATTTAAGCCATTTCGAACCTGCTCCATGTGCTGAACGTCCGGTTCTTTTCGGACTGAGACGAACCTCATGGATAGCTGGCATGCGAGGGTCAGATGATGTCGGATGCTTTCGCTTTGATGTCCGCAGTTGCATTTCCGCGGCTCATTTCTGAAGATGGAGTGGCACTTCAACTCAAATGGCAATCAACGGCTCCAACATATTCCAACCCTTTTAGAGGTGGCCCTTTTGCACGAAAAGCAGCGGCCATGCCCGCCCCTGGCCCGGAAGAGGGTTCTCACTCCCCCCAAGAAGCGCTGCAGGACCTTGGACTGCAAGGACTATGGCCGGGTCTCCTCTACAGCCGTGCTGTGCAAAGATGGAATACCTGGGCTGTGGCAATTGACCTTGGCCATTTTGGCCTATCATCCACTTGCGGTGCCTTGGCAGTACATAAGCTGAGACACAACATTCCTATGGCCGTTTCCTGTTAGGATGTGAGATGAGCCCTGCAAAGCCAATGATGGAATCCGAAACCGAGGGCCAAGCCCAGTCAGTGGCATTTGCCCACCAAGTCCATCACTAGCATTGGGCATCAGGTCATGGACAACGTCAATGACATCCACCCGGAGGCAAGCTAGAGAGTGAATGTTGTGAGATGTTATGAGGGGCCCTTTGCCGATTGATCATGTATGATATGTGCTGATGATGATGCTTATTGTTTTATTATGCTATGCAAATCTATTATGTGCCAATCAGTTCTGTTTCCTCAACCTGTTTCCATATCCACATCCATGGCCCGACTGCTGCACCGGCCTCATTCCCGTGCGGCCTCGGCCTGCACCATCAACCCCCCGAGGTCTTGGTCGGCCTCGTGGGACATCCTGGCCTGCGGATCCGGAAAGACCTCTCGCGCTACTACCTGGCGGAGCCGTGGGGTTTGTGCCTCCTCGGTGGTGGGAAGCCGAACGGTGAACCGAAGGGTCGGTGGTGGATGTGAAGCCCAAAAACAGCGACCCCAAAGGGGGTAGAATCGGGTAGAACATGGTAGAACAATGAAACCAGATGTCACCTGAACATTCTCAACTGAGATTTTTACCCATCCCGCCCGTAGCGCCATTGTTTTCCAGGAGCACATCCTCACAGAGATGACCGAGTCCCAGAGCTCACCCAAGCGCCCACGCCGGAGCACGGACGACGGGCAGAAGGCGCGGAAATATGCGCTGGCTGAGCGGCTCTTTGCCACATTGCCGGAATGGCGACTCACTGAAGAGGACAGGGGGCTCCCGATTTTTTTTGAAACTGATTTGGTGAGGACAGGCGCCTATATATTTATAGCATTTATATAGCTATAAACATATACCTCGTGCACTTTGTGTTTGATATTGCATCTATATCCGTCTACATCTCAATATAACCGGATGGGATTGCCTGCTGTGGATTCAGTTGTGGCACTTCATAATTCTTTGACACACCAGAGGCTGATTGTGATTGCAGTCGGGTTAAAAACATCCATTTGGGCACCAGGACATCAAGCAGATTCGCGCCAAAGGCTTAGTGCCTGACCGGCTGATTGTTGATTGGTTCCTCCATCCACTCCGGACGCTTGGGATGGCCTGAGCAAAAAGAGCTCACCTGGACAGAGTTGCATTGAATAGTTCCCTTCCCCCACAAAAATGGTTTACACTTATATGGTGACTCCAAGTTTCAAACACATTGGTGCTTTTTTTCCAGTTGTAAGTATTTTTGGTTATGTTTGGGTAGGTTCATATCCAGCTCGACCTTTGGGTACCATTCGCTGAGGAAATACCCCATTAGCGAATCTTTGGGCTACGACGTGACCATCTCTGACCAGGAGGTCTTGGTGTCGGTGCCCGAATCCTGGCGTCGCCTGGGCAATGAACGCATTGACCCGCGGCCTGTGCTGAATACGGAGGGGTGCGCAGAGCCTCCAATTTTTTTCAGGGTTGCAGGCTACTACGATTCTGATGACAGGAGACTTTTTTGCCATGTCCGAAGTTCATTAGCGGATGACAAGATTACATTTTGCACACTGCGGGTGTGCACTCCCCAGGGGACCGTGTCAGATGCAACCAAACCCAGTTACCCATTCAGCAGTATATTCCGCAATGGTGACTTTGAGATGGGCTCAGTGCCGCTTCCTCCTGGGCATCATCACAAGTTCTTTATCGTGGTTGGTGTGCCTCGAAAGTGGGGCTTGGGCTCCTACTCACGCACCACGAGATCTTCCTTCATTTTGGAGAGTCCCTATTGAGCGGCGAGGTGCTGAACAGGAGTGACACGTTCTTCATAGTGACTGCCAGGTAGGGCCAGGCGGGTAACCTGTTTGGTCTATGCAAGGTTCGACCTGAATTTGGGGATGGGCTGAGCTGCGCGTGACAAGCATAGGGATGGCAAAGAGCTGGAACAGCTTGCAAACAACCCATCCATTTCCCACATAGTTTGGAATGTGTTTCTCCCCTATACGGAATGCCTTAGGCCAGCCGTAGTGGACTCCACCCGTCCTGTTTGTCGCTTCAAGATGCAGATCTGTTGCTAGGGCGTCTTTCAGGGCGTCAGAAGATTATGTATACAAGTGTTATATAGATTGATATAGTGTTTCATTATATAGTAATTAAATGTACACTTTGACTTGAGTTGAGTGGTGACACTTTGGCTCATATGTCCAAGCCCTTTCAATATTTGAGGTTGTGCAGTAACCCCCCATCAAGCAATTTTGTAGGAGCAGTTCCAAAAGCAGCCTTGGTGAGCAAAAGCACCAGAAAAACATGAAACATGCAAAATCAAAGGATGTTCATATTTAAGCATTCTGTTGGGTCAGGTTGTACAATGACATCCTCTCAGATGAATAGTCCCAATACTACGACTGCCACTACCACCCTGCTGCTGCTGCTGCTGCTACTCCTGTTCCTCCTCCTAAACTAAGTGCTGCTGCTGCTACTGCGAATGCCACCACCGCCACCACTACTACAACGGCTACTACAACTAACAATGACTACTATACCTACTGAAGTTGCAAATTTGCAACATCACAATGGGACCCCAATTGTATTTTGTATCCATGCGGTTCATGCGCTTGTTTCTTGCGCTCCCATTTCCTCCAGCTACAGCCGCCACTTGTTTGTCGGTTTGCAGCGCCCAGCAGTGCACAGCAAGGGGCCAATCATCGCGGCGGGGAAGCAAAAGCGTCGCATGCCGTCTTTTGGTTCTCGCTCTGAAAACCAGTGAAAACCCAAGAATTTGTTCATGGTGACTTGAAACTTTGATCCCGGACCGGGCTCCGACGACCTCGGACTACTCCCTGAGTTTGCCAGGCTTGGTGCTTTTGCCTGTGATCTGCATGACCATCGGTGGATCGAACAGTCCCAAGGCGCTGTTGGATGATTTCTCTGAGGCTGGGCCGGGGCTGCATGGTTCTTGGGACATGAAATCAGTCCTATATCAGTCACTGGGCAAAGTGTATTTTTCTATGAATTGTTCTGGACCCAAGCTGCTGGTTCAAACCAATGGCATACACCGAGTCTCGTAGGCGCTTGACCAGGGTGTTTCCACCCAGATCCAACGTGCACCCGCACCCAGACCCCAGGGCCGGGTGCTCGTGCTATGCACCTTCCTGGGTCCTGGATAGACCGCGACTTGCGGTAGCCTAAGGTTTGGTCACACCCGAAAATCGGTATATTATGGTGCGGACTGGATGAGCTACGCTGTTGAGCCCTATTAGAGCCTGCGACAATGGTTTGAACAAACTACTTGGGCTTGGCACTTGCTATTAGGGCATGCTTCCCTCAAATCGTTGAGCACTCGACTGCTCTCAGTCACTTCCTCACACCATGTGAGCACAATCATTCAGACAAAACCTGAGCATCCCAGGTTGACACCTTGGGGTCACCCATGGTCACCCTCTTTCGGTGCTTCTGACTGGACGTCCCGAAGTCGATTTCGTTGGTCGCTTCGTCCCAAAAGCAGTCCCAAACGTCGTTCAGCTCCCCGGTGCTTTTGGACCACCAGGTGGTGAGCAATCAGTGGCTAGTGACATCCATTGCATTCATGTTCCTTGGCATGTTCCTGGCATGTTCCTGGTGCCTGCGCTGGAGTATTGGGGAGCTGTGGCTATTTGTGGATCGTTGAATGGGAGGTTGTCCAAGCACTGGGAGCTGTTGAGATTTTCCCAGAGGGACCCCGAGAGTGCTACAGAGTAGTATGCACTTTCCTCAATCAGACGCGAAAAAGAAACAGGGTCTTGTTCCAATTCTTGTTGATCCAAAATTCAACATCCCCATATACAACCCCCCCGAGATGGAGAGATTCATGACGGAGCAGGCATTTGGCAAGGTGAGCAGTGTTTTTGTTGATGAAAGGATGGTTTCAGCGACCTACCAGGACCTTCAATGTGACCAATCTTGACATCCCAGGATTGCTTGGTCACAGACAGGACTTGGGCCTGTAAAAGGCTTGGGCCTGTAAAAGGTCACCCCTACAGAGACTCAAAGAGGTCGTCTGGATCGATCCACGGATCGAATCCGCTGAGGTTGGTGAGCAGCATCTTGCCTCTTGGCGAGATCAAATCCAGCGAGAGCTCTAGGACAGGTGAAACGATTCCCAAGGAAGCACCACTAGTAGTAAGGACTAAGAAGCTTCAAAGACATACAAAAAGCTTCTTGTTGCTACAGGTGAAACGATTCCCAGTGAAACGATTCCCAAGGAAGCTTCTAACTACTAGTAGCTTCTTGCTGCTACCTCCAACCTAATAGCGATGGCCTCCCCCTAGTAGCGTCCTTGTTACTAGCACTACGGATTCGAAGAATTGCAGCCGGGAAGACTGCCCATCCGTGGAAGCTGACATCATATGACATCATGACAGTATGTGGGGAATTGCGAGGTTGAAGATGAAACACCATGGAAGTAGAACGAAGTAGTGGCCCCTCATGTGGCCCCCAGTGTCTTTACGTTTCGGCTCAACGGCCTTCAGATCACCATCCCAACACTCCCGGCGGCCTGTGCAGAGGCTCGAAGCAACGGCGCAACGCACGGTGGACCGGGAGCCCATACGGCCCATCTCAGGTAGGCACAGACCCAACCAACCACCAACCACCAACCATCATCCACCACCCGAACCACCCAACCACCGAACTGAACACGAACAAAATTGGCCGGCAGGCCGGTGTGTTCTGCGGGGTGCGCTGCGCCCCGCTTCACGGCAGCCGTCCGAGGAAGTCGGAGCTGCCACGTGTGGAGGCACCCATCGAAGAGCTGGGATTCTTGGCAACAGTTGGGCAACAAATTAAAGGCAATCAGATCGAATCAGCACAATGTATTGTGGGTTGTGTTGTTGAGGATGGCTGCAGAGTTGAGGATGGCTCACTTGGTTTTCGGTGGACATGGGCTTTGGATCTTCCCGGCAGAAGATCCATCGTGAGTTTGGTGCGGTAGTTGTGCAGGATCAGCCGCCAACCCCGAAAGACCGGCTTCGATGGAACGACTCCTAGACCTCCCATCCAGCGATAGACGCAGCGTGTAGGAACCGAGAATTTGCGCGCGCCATGGCGTCCTCGAGGTGTTGCTGGGCTTTTGGTGAAGAGTGCTGGACTCCAATGGTTTCTTCTGAAATGGGGCGGAGGCAGGGAACGACCAAGAGCGAGTCATGCAGGACGATGTTGTAGGTCCAAGGCCTGCGATGGCTCCAACCATATGCTCCAACCATATCCTCAGGTTCGGTGGTTAGACCCGGCATCCACCCCAACCACCGAACCTCAGGAGGTGGGCCAGGAGCCCAAACGGGAAATAAGGCACTTCGATTCCATTTCCGAGGCTCGGGTCCAAGTTCTCGGGTTGAACCGACCAATCCCTGCGCTCCAGGAGATGCCCATGACCTGCAAGCAAGCTTCTTGGGATTGCTGGCCCTGGCGGACACTCGGAATGAACGGCAGAAGAATGCAGACTGCATTCCGCGTCGAACTATACATCCACTGTCAACACCACAATCCGGATCATCTGGACTGAAGCCGGACCACCACTTCAGTCCGCCCTTGAGGTGTTTCTTGGTTCGAACCACCGATTTGAATGTCATGCCTTGCAGTGGAAGGAGGACAATTCACCAGATTTGGCAGCCCCTTTGACCTCCAAACGAAAATAAGTGAAAATAGACCAATACTGACCGAGCCAGGGGGGTCTCCGAAACAGAAACACCCATGAGCAGACAGAGGACTCGAAGGGCCCCCCAAAGTGCAGAGTAAAGCAACCACTGAGTGATGAAAGCATTCTGATCGACTCTCGGTGGCAGTGAGGGATGTGGAGGCCAGTTTCAGGGGTGTGGTTGCTTTGCGACACGGTCCCAAATTTTCGAACCAGACTCATCCTTATCCATGCATCGGACCTTTCCACTGCGTTTGAAGCGCGAAACGCGGGGCTTAAACCACGCGCGCCGGCGTGTTGACGAGAGGTATGCTTCGCAGAGCATATGGCAAGTCTGCCTGTGCCGGTCTCTTGTCAGATCTGGCCCCTGGCAATCCGAGCCAGTCCTGACTCATCAAGTTGTTTTTGATTCAAACGTTGTCCTTGCAAGATGAGATGCTTTCCACTCCGGCAGAAGATTCATGTGCATGTAAGTTGTACATGCACTTTGTTAGACATGCAGGTATCTCTTGAGTATGCGCGTCGCGGTACATCTTCACCCCGAAACCCTTCCCAGCAAAATGACGAGGAAAGGCTGAACACAAACCATTCAAACATCCTATGGGTACTGCTTGATCCGCAATCAGTAGCCAGGCCCTTCCAGCAAAGCCACCCAAGCCGCCACCAGCCGCTTGAATTGACAGCCTGACTTTTCTTATGATTTCAAGGGCCATCAAGGGCCCAAAGTAAAGAAAATAGACTACCAGGACTCACAAAGGAATGCTTAATGGAGGTTAGGGGTGCCCATTATCCACTCACTTAGGGACGAAACACTACCCCCTTGTGACTCCTGGTATATATTTTTTCTGTATATAATTTGGTCTATGCTGGTGTCATGCTTTCAGTAGCTTTTGCCAGTGTGAAGGGGCTCTAAGCAAATTGAATCATAGCTGCCTTGACTTCAAAACCTGCGAGGCAAACATGAAGTAGAAACTGGCTTTCCATAGCCTTTTAAATTGTGGGACAGCACGCGATCTTCACAAATCAGCCATTCGCGCCAGTACTCTACTGGTCGGGTGTCATGGCCGTTGTTGCTGGAATTTGGAGGGGGGCAATGGAAAAGTGGATGACTTCCTTCTCCTCCCACATACTGAGATTGAGGCGATTATTGGCCGTGGGCCCTGGAGTCACAGGTCAGGCATTTTTTCAATTCAAGCCAAGGTCAAAGTGGTGCCAGCAGCACAGCCCAAGGCTTTGGCAAAGAAGCACTTGGGCGGAACCTAGATGGGCTGAAACGTTTGTGTCGTTGCCAGGTGGTTTGTCAGTCGACTCCGTGCAAGGGCACTCCCGTGTCCGGAAATCTACCAGCCAGTGCCTGCCAGGCTTTATTCCCAAGCCATTTGGACAGTTGATTCACTCATCTTGACAAGGCATGGTGGCGCATTGAGGTGGTTTGGCAGACAGCATGAGCATCACCATGTTCCGTCATGTTCCTCCAGAGTTCGAGGTCATGTGGAGGCAAATTTTAGGCACCAGGCTTCCGCAGAATGTACGGGGAGTGGGCAGATGAACAGAAAAGCATCCCAGGCACGTCACTCTTGGACGAACGCGACCTGCTGCCCGAGGCTCCCTGCAAGTCGCCTGCCGCCTCGACCGCCTTGGCGCGCCAAAGTGCCAGGTGCAGAATGAACACCGGTGCCGCCGTTTCAAACCGTGGACCGCAGTCCGTTTCGCCATCGATGACTAGTCCAAAGTGCCAGGTGCAGAACGAACAGAACGGACATGCAGGTCTCAAGAGTCGGCGTCGATCGAACGACATGCCGCAGATCCGATCGGTGTATGTCCACCAAATCACATCCCATCACGCACTCCTTCATCCCGGATGACACACCAGGGCCACTGAAGAGTGGCAACGAGGGTCGGTCCGTTTGGCACCCGATGCACACCTTTTGGCGGGTCTTTTGTGAGCAGTCCAACATAGTCCAACGATATCTCTTAAAGATGCGGAGACTCCCTATGAGACAGGCACTGCTAGGCACCCTATAGGCATATAGGTACTATACCCACATGAATGTCACATGAATAACACCACGAGCTAGCCCACCCCACGAGGCCTGCGCAAGGACAGCGACTTGGGCAGCGAGATTTCCACCACGGCACCTCCCACCCCACGAGGCACCGCGGTCGCACGGGGAAACCTTTGTCCGCCAAGGTCGCAGGTGAAAAACAAATCATATCGATTCACATTGCTTGCGATGATGAATTCGAATTGATAGTTTGCACATATGCGTCCCATTTGCGTCTCACCAAGCTGTTGTTGTTCAAAGTGACAATGTTTAAAGGTGTAGACGTGTATCGACCCAATGTTTTCCTTGTCAGATTGCTTTCAGACCACAGAGTGAGTTCAAACATATACGACCATAGGATCCAAGATGACCCAACATAGCAATTGCAAGCCCAAAAAGCAAGCAATGAAAAACATTGACCAAAAGCTCGGCAGACGCCGGTGTTGTTCTGGAAGAAACTGCAGCGTTGAAAGTCATAGACTCATAGAGCACCCCCACTTCCTACGTGATCAATGCGACTCAACGATGGTTTCATTTGCAGATGAGCCAACATGATCATGATCCACCGCCCTTATGCCAGGCAGTGTCCCAGTCACAATCCTTCAGCCTCAGCCTCGCCATGCCGGCCACGTTTGCACAAGTTCTGCAGGTGCTTGCTTTTCTTCATGCAAGCCTTGTGGGCGACGTCATGATCCGAAATGCGGACACAGAACATATTGCCAATGTATAATTAGTTTGATCATGTTTGATCGGTTGTTGCAGCACCACATCTAATTCACAAATCAGGCCAAAAGAAGTCCCTCTTATTCAGAAGAGACAGCTCTATGATTATGGGATGACATGGAATGACACCGTCTTGGGATGTCTTGGGTTGTTTTAGACTTTTTGGGAACCACCCTGTGTTACCAGCCCCAGGCTGCCCATAGACAAACATTGTTGGAAATCCTCTAGGATGCATTTCAGTCGATAAGGTTGGTGAATGTCAGTGAGGCTGAAAGAATGTGAGAAGCAACTGTCGGATTCCCAAATCATGCAACCATATATGAAACCATTTGTTCCTTTGGCGCTTCGTGATCGGCCTGGTGATAAGCTCGATTGTGTCTCGCTGAAGTTCTCAGTGGCTTCCGTGTTTGAGCCCCATCGGGGCTTTGGTCACATCACCCAAATGCCACTAGACCCACTTGATCCCACAAGGAGAAGACTGGACTAGACTGTATGACCCTGAAAACGATTCTACCATATTGAACCCCACGTGCCCTGGGTTTCCCGCAGGGGTTGCATTATGGTTCCTATCATGCCTATCGTCATACCTCAACCAACCCCTCCGACCCCGTCCCAAAGTCTAAGCCTTGACATTAAGCCTCATCTCCTCATGCCAGGTCTAAAGGTGCAGGAAGAATCCAGCAGTGGTCTCTTGGAAAGAGGTCGAAACACTCACTGTTGGAATTTCGATTCGAACACACATGGTTTCTTCCACACCAAGACGACTGAGTCGTGCCTTTGACACGTCAGCATGAGTCGGGAAGAGCCGGCCTTGGGTACCCTTGGAGCCAACGGGAACATCGGCTATTTGGCACATCTGGGGGTCTCTGGAGCTGAAGGACCTCCACGTCTTGTGGAGCTGAAGGAGCTTGCAACTCCTCAAGTCATTCCATAATACCGGCCAGTAGGGTACGTGAGAAATCCAGTACCTTGAAACTTGAGGTACTGTAGCCCAGCAAACTGGTGCGTTAGCGTAAAGGACGCATTTCACCTCCCCACTTCCAAGACCTAATTATCACATGTTTTTCATGGCCTTTCACCCTGTTTTCATTGGCTTTTCACGGGTCTTTTCATGTCACGAAAGCTAGCACCAGCTAGCTGGAGTTTTCCTTGCTTTAGCAAGTGAGGGGCTGGAATCCTCGAGATCGCCGCATCACGTCCCCCCCTCGAACGCGTCTGGGACACCTCGACACCTCTTATGGCATCCACTTTGGTTCAACTCCTCCGTGGATACGATGCAACAGATTCAACAGATTCACAAGCTAAGGTTGGCTGTGTCATTGCTGTTCGTGTGTCTTACATGTTCACGACGTTTTACCTCATGAGCGAGACCGTGTGAACCATCCCTCCAACAGCCCCATGCATATGAAAAAAGTTTGCCTCACTCCGCTTGATGTCCCACCAGTCCTTTGTCACTGGACGGCGCTGTATGCTTCGCCTCCACTGACACGGATGCATCCCTGCTAGCTTTCGTCACCTACCCTCGGCCTTAAGTCCTTTTCATGGGTTTTTCGTGGCCTTTTCAAGCTTCCAGCTCCCGTTTTGCTAAAGCACCGGTTAAACTGGTGCGTTACTAAAGAACTGGTTAGACTGGTGCATTGACCCACTGGGTAGGGATACGTGAGTAGTCCAGTGCTTCAGACCGGCCACCCAGATACGGTAGATCTCTGTGTCCATGTGTTTTTGACCCCTTCAGTGCTTTCTTTATCCAGTTTCACGCGGTTTGCACGCGGTTTTCCCAGGCGTTCTCAGGTGTTCATGTAGTAAAGTCCTTTGTTCCTAAAAGTACGGCCAGGAGCGCCCCTAGTAGCTTCCGATCGCTCCGTTTGTAGAGATGCCCTTTGCTACGTTTGTAGCTTCTTTGTACGTTCGTAGTAAGGCCAGTAAGGCCAGGAGCTACGTACGTTCGTAGCGTCCTCTTGCTCCTAATCGTGGTGTTCTTTCGGCTTGGTTGGGTCGTGGCGGGCGACGTGGTGCGCTGAGGCAGCGACTTGTCCAGCGAATGGACCAGTGACAGTGAATGACCAGTCCGAGGATGCTGAGAGATGGAGAATGCCCAGACAAAAGGGTGCGCGGTTCGAGGATTTTCGCTCAAGTAACGAAGTATTGCGACGTCCTTCGGCTCGAGGTCTAGGTCTAGGTGGTCGGCTTTTTGAAGCTTTTTTGTAGCTTCACCAGGGCAGCTCCTACTTGTACCAAAAAGATGCAATGTTTGCAGATGCTTGTGATGGGTGACACATGGAGTTCATAGGCCAACTGAAAGGACGATTTGCAATCCCCCAAAACTCCAAGTACCTCCGGTGCCGACAGACCCCCACAGACCCCTCACAGACCCCACCGATGTGCCCTGTTCCCCAAGGCTCATAAGGGCCCCACTCTTTTCACTTTCACTCTAGCCGCGAGATCTGTGTTTGGTAGCCGCTGCCCTACAAGGCCCTCGTTTCATGCACTCGTGATTGGCACTGTCGACTTGACGATTCAAGAACACGGCCGGTGAGAATCTGACCACTTATAACTAGTACGTTTCAAAGGTTCGATGGCACTGGCACCCCAAGATGTCTTAAACAGATGGGGGATGATGGGGGTCTATAATTCTATAATCCTGGGAGTGGATAATGGGCAGCCCTAACCTCAAACCTCCATGGATAGCATTCCTTTGTGAGTCCTGGATATTCTGATATAAACCACCCAACTTGGACATGTTACGACACTTGTGCCGTGTGCCATCTAGTCTCCATTTAGTGGATGACCCCTTCACAGATCAAAGCACTGGAACAAGGCCTCCAGCCCCGCGTCCAATCCCGAGGCCTGCGTCCCCTGCAACACTGGGCGCTTCCTCCAGGCGGAACAAGCGGGCGGAGAAGGGTGCCCGGTGGAAGACCGGGACCGGTGGAAGACCCAGCTCGTGACAGAAGCTGAAAAAATGAAACATCCTACCCCCCCCCCTTGCGGGATCTTCCGGGGTAGGGAAACATGTTTAACTTCCTGGAGGCCCCCCCCCGAACAACATGGAAGGGATGAACAGAGTAGGGTACCAGAGGCCTACCAGTCAGTATGCCAATGAGGGTCATGGCTGCCTTCCTAGATGTTCTACTATGGCCCTGTTTGGGACATAGTGACAAAACGAACCTTCAAGACTTTTGTTACAGCATGAAACTTTACATAACTTAATTTACTATACTATACGTCAGTTGCTTGTGAAAGTATCTCCTGGCACGCCCATGCTGTATGTGAAACATTTGTCCGTCACCATCCGGTGAGGACAGCGGCTCTTCCTTGGCGGGTGCCTGCGAAGCATGTCCTGCTGGACGAGCAGATTGGGCAGCAGTTGTGTTGTGTATGTGTTCCTTTTTTTCCTCAGGGGCTTGTGAGAAAGCATGTCAATCCTTTATGAACATGTACAGTTAGAACGGTGAACCATAACCATGGGGCTGACACTGAGTGAGTCCCAACAAGGTCAAATGTTCCATAAGAGAATTATACAACCCGTGTTTGAACACGATGTTGGAATACCAAAAGGTGCCTGCTCTTTTTTGGTGGCTTGGCCAGCTGCTTGTGAGGCAACGCGGCACTGCGGCAGCCCTGTTAACCACGAGCACACGCGGGTGGTTCAATAGGCTTGAACATCAATCACCCAAAGTCAAGATGTGGGTTCAGCAAGGTGTCTCCGAACTGAACCGCAAGCAGTCTTTCCCCGGATGCACCACCATCCACTTCTTCAGGTGGGGAGAGATCAAAGAACATTAGGAGAACACCACCATCCTCTCAAAATAACACCAAGATTGCATCCGTTTTTTTGACGGAAACATCCATGAACACCTGCACTAGTACCTGCCTGCACACACCTTTCTGACGTGTTTGGTTTCCGAGGTGTTCTGGATGGTGGCGACGGAAGGTTGTTTGACCTATTAGGTGTTCATCCAAGTGTATGGAATGGTTGTTCAATTCTCTAGAGGTAGTCCGTTTGAGTAAAGATATGTAATAGTAAGTTAATATTGTTAAAATAACATAAATTTTCTATCTATGTTAAGCCTAAGTGGTATTGAGCTTGTAACCTAGCGGGAGAGCTCAAGTAGGCACTTAGTAAGGTATGTACTGTTCTTGAACGTTCTTGACTATTCTTAGGTGCACGATGCACGCTCAAACACTGGCCCCGCCCTTTTGCTTTAAATACGACTGTTGAACAACCTCTCTGGGTGAAACGCAGGGAAGCAAGCACGGTCGAGCGCTGTTGACCACCGTCTCGCTGAGACCTCCCCTGCCGGTGCCAGCGAATGCAGCGATTGCCTCTTGGACCCAACGAGTCACGGCCCAACGAGTCGCCACCCACAGCGCTGTGTGGCGACGGTGTAGATCAGAGATGAACCAGGTTCGACTAGGTCAGGTTCGAGTCCGGAGACTTTCTGTTTGGGAGGATTTGGGAGGTATTTGGTTTGAGGGCTTGCGCGGTCGATGCAAAAGCATGCAAAAGCGAGCCGAAGTAACATTCCCAAGCGCCCCACTTTGTGACTGTTTGTGGTAAGTCATGGAGGTCATGGCATCGTGCCTTGCAGTGGCATATTCACCTTCAGGTGTTGACCCTGCATGATGCCTTGTCCCATGCTGCTTTTTAGTCTTCGCTCGTGTGAACGAGTGGGTCCATGCCGGTTCCGAATCACTCGCCCAGGCCCCGCCGGGCGCCACGCCATGAATGCAGGCGAGCCGGAGTTCGGGACGACGTGGGTTGTGTCTCTCGGGTGGTTGGCACCTTCCGCGGCGAGGGCGGAAGCCACCCAGTTGAGGAGTTCACCAGGTGGAGCGGGTTCCACGCGGAACCGCGGTCTGGAGAAGCTGCAATACACCGATCTGGGACTTGACCGGAACGTTCATCCAAGCTACAGACGGCACGAAGGAATCCCCAAAAGCATCGTGCCGAAGCCTGAGGATGGTGTGCATGACTTGTTGGGAGGTTCTTGACTCTCTGACAGGCACCCTGATGAGTTTGTCAAGAAAGGTCGATTCCTTTCTGGGACGTCGAGAATCTCAAATCTACAGCCCGGTGTGGGAAGAAGCTTTTGATGTGGGTTATGTTTGCCATTCCCGGGGATGCGCTGTCTGTGGATGTTTGTTGGACATACATATAAATACCTGCGCATGCATGCATGCATCTATGCATACATATCATACATACATTCTTAAGCTGCTTAAGCTTTAACATAAAGTCCGACCATCCAAAGCATGGTATAGTGAAATCTAGGACATTGCGGGGGGTCTTCAAAGCGTCAACATCTTAACATTTAAGGCGAGCGGGGTTGACCATTTGGCACTGACCCATAGGCTTTGTACCTGGCACCCTTTTCACCTGTGGCTTTGGTGGACCTGACGGTCGAGACTCGTCGACGGTTGACGAGGCCAAGGGAGTTGCGCGGACTGCCCTGCGGCCAATGAGACGGGATCCATTGGTTGTTGTCCTGGGGACTCGGACGAGTGGCCACTGGAGGATGGCTTCATGCTGGGGCCCCCAGTAGGTGGAGGGTGGCAGAGGGCGAAGGGAGGAAGTGCATGGGAATGGAACGACCATGAGCTGAAGTACCTTTGAAGGACCTGGCACCACCTGAAAAAAGCGGGAATCAAATGGAATCAAAGGATCGTATAAGATGCATGTAAGTACATGTTACGTAGTTGTGTCTTTCGGTGTCAACACCGAATTCGGTGGCGCCACGTCATCCACCGTCACGATGGACGTCCGACAGGTGCATGGCAGGTGAGCCGTGCTTGCCGTCCTTGTCGTCGCAGGCTGAGCTTGCCTCCTGGGAAAAGTGCCACCGTGATTCACGTCCTGGAGAACTGCCAGGAGAGGGGAGGAGTCGTGGGAGGAGCTGCCCCAGTCGTCGAGGGGGCCCGCCCGACGTGACCGCTACATCACCGACGGGATCCGGTCCAAAGGGTGGGTGCTTCCGGCGGTCAATGACGGATCCATGGTGCGGGAAACATCATGAAATATCTATATATAGTAACATCACGTAACATATATATATATATTTTAGATATTGATATCAGAAGCTTAAACAAGAACAGCAGCAACAACCAAGCGTGCCCAACGTTCTTGCCGTTCAAACTGTTCCAGTTCGGGTTCGAGATTTGAGTGGGGCACAATACCTAGATCTTCGTATGAGGCACTTTTCCAAAAAAGTTGCCTTTTACCGTACGGCGGCGTAAATTGTAAAGCTGCGGCGTTTCTTGATTTTGCGGCGGCGTTTTTCGTAATTGGCTCGAAGTTGTATAGTTGGGTGATTTGTGCCCTTCGTTAGGTGTAGTTGGGTATAGTTGTGTCAAACCCCGAAGGTTGATGAACGCACCCCAATGTGTGAACTTCTTGTCAACATACCGACCGGTAACCTTTGGGAAGATGCGGAATTGGTGCAGTGCTTGAACTATGTTTTAGCTTCGAAACGGCTGGTCGTTCCGGAAGAGTACCAACCAGTGTTTCATAATTTGTTTTCGTGCTTCAGAGTTCCCTGAAAGAGATTGATAAGCATTCAACACAAAAATTGAAATTATGTTCTTGAGTTTCATACGTGTTGCGAGAAATTTGCGAAACTTGCCTGAAAAAATGGCGGCGTAAATCCGCGTATTGGCGGCGTAAATCCACGTAATGGCGGCGTAAATCCGCGTAATGGCGGCGTAAATTCCCGTAATCATGTTGGCAACATTTGTCACCCATGGACCACTGAGATTGCTAGGCTTATCAGGGTGTAGCATACACATGAGCACAAAGACTCTTGTTAGGGGGTGGTCAATTGTCAGAGCTTGCACAATGACCATGGAGAATGACCCTGAGTACCAGAAGTTGGGTATAGTTGGTAAATTTGGCAATGGGAATCGTAGAGCGGTCAGGGATTTGGGATTGCGATGACGTTATCGTGGAGGTGAGTGTGAGGGTTTGGTCTCTACCTCGTGTTACTTGGGGAATCTAACTGAGTATCCTTGAGCCTGGCGTGGAGGAGACATGCACCATCCTTCCCCATATATATGGAATGTGGCGTTTTGTTTTTCTGGTGGCGTTTTTTTTTGGAAGACGGCAATTTTCCACTCTG